TTCTAGGCTCCACCTGCACTCCTTGGCTCATGGCGCCGCCCGTCTTCAAAGCCAGCAATGGCAGGTCAGGTTCCTTTTCACACTGCACCTCTCTGCTCCTCTGTCCATAGTCGTGTCTCCCTCTGACCACAACTGGGGAAGATTCTCTGATTTAAGGGCCCAAGGGATTAGATTGCATCCATCTAAATAATCCAGGCTAACCTCCTCATCAAGGTTCTTCATTACATTATAAAGTGTCTTTTGTTGCATAAGGTAACACTCATGGGTTCCAGGGATTAGGACATAGAGATCTTTGGGGCCATTATTCTGCTTGCCCTTTGAACTGAGCCCTGGTGTCTTTGAACAAGCCATTCATCCTTTTTAAAAATCAGTGACAGGCCAGGTATTTACCAAGACCCCCTTTCTGCTCTTTCTTTTTCTTTTTTAATGCCTGATCTCATTATTTATTATGTTTTGGCTGTGCTGGGTCTTCCTTCCTTCCTGTGTGGGCTTTTATCTAGTTGCAGTACACAGGCTTCTCATTGCAGTGGCTTCTCTTGTGGAGCATAGGCTCTCAGCACTAAGGCTCTAGCAGTTGTGGCTCCTGGGCTCTAGAGCAAGGCTTGATAGTTGTGGCACATAAGCTTAGCTGCTCCATGGCATTTGGGATCTTCCTGGACCAGGGATCACACCTGTGTCTCCTGCACTGGGAGGTGGATTCTTTACCCTGAGCCACCAGGGAAACCCTGCTCTACTTCCCTTACTCCTCACCTCCTGTCCTAATGGTGGGTATCCTCACTTTCTGAGGGAAATGACCTCCAACTTTCCTTGTCTGAGTTAAGTTTAACCTTGGGATAATAATGTCCTTTTTTCCCCCAGCTAGTAACACCTCTGATTGTTATTTCTCTTTATTTTTCCCATCTAGAACTACCGAGTCTTCATACAAATGCTTTCTGCATTCTCCGTGAAAAGAAAAAAAAAAACTGTTTAATTCAGAAAAGTCTTGGCCAGTTAAACATTCATCATTCCTCTGGGTGAAAATGAACACTGTACCAGCCCTCACATAACACTGGTTCAGTCAGCTGTGGAACAAATGTTTAATGTGTCCCTGCTGTATTGCAGGCCTTGCATTAAAAACTAATCTTCTAATGGTGAAAAGGACACTATCTCTATATTAAAAGAACAGCAAGGCTAGTGGTGGGGCATGCAGGAGACAGGACTTTTCAGTACAGCATGGTAAGTGCTGCTGTAAGCAAGCACAGGGCCTCTGATGTCCCACTAGGGAAGAAAGGGGAGTTCCCTGAAACCAAATGAAAAGCAGGAGGACCCCAGTGAAGTTGAGAGTGAGGTGATGAGAGAGGGGTGGAAGGTCCCCAAAGCCCAAGCAAACAGTGTTCACAAAAGCCTAGAGAGATTGCGGATTGCAGATAATTTCAGCATTTGCTGGAGCAGGGTGTTTGAGGCGGGAGGGTGGTGAGGGTTGATGGCAGTCAGCTGAAAACCTTGTTTACCTGTTAAGGAGCTGGAATTTATCCTGAGGGCAATGTGGAAGCATTGAAATATTTAAGCCTGAAGTTGGCATAATCAGCTTTGCCTTTTTTTCTTGGAGACTCTTAACTGGGAGCTCTATCCAAGAGCGCCTGTGTTTTAACGGCTATCACGTAATCATGTGGCCTTTCCATGAAGAACTTCGGAGGTAGAGGCATAGCAGCAAGAAGAAGCTTATGTACTCAGTACCACTAGCCTCTGAATCTGGCTATTCATAATCTAAGAATAAAACACTAGAAATACCATGTAAGCAAAATGATCCCTACCTTAAGCAGACCAGGGATGTGGTCCCTCTCCAGCTGACTGCAGCCCTTTGGTTCAGGTCTGAGCTCTCTGCATGGACCACTGGACTCTCCGCAGTGCCTAGAATGAACCGTGCTCTAGTCACCTTTGTGCACTGGACCCGAAGCCTTTTCCTTCCCCACTCAAGTGTCAGGGTAGCTCTTACTCTGCCTTCAAGACTCACCTCAATTGTGTCCTGTAGGTGTGAGTAGGTGCCTGCCTGTGTACGCTCAGTCGTGTCCAACTCTGTGCCACCCCTTGGACTGTAGCCCACCAGGCTCCTCTGTCCATGGGATTCTCCAAGCAAAAATACTGGAGTGGGTTGCCATGCCCTCCTCCAGGGGACCTTCCCGACCCAGGGATCAGAACCCACGTTATCTTGCGTCATCCTGCATGGGCAGGCGAATTCTTTACCACTCTGTCACCTGGGAAGCCCTGTGTCCTGTCGGTAAATCATTTTAAATCCTCTCAATCCACCCTCCAAGGTTGAGCAAGGGCTCCACCTCAGTGAAGTGTTCTACATTCTTCTGTTTCCCGGTTATCACACTATGATCTCCTATCCTTATTCAGGTGCTTCGCCCTCCCCCACCCACCACCACTACAAAGGCTAGAGAAGCCTTGTAATTACACAGATCCAGGGACTTCCTGGTGGTGCAGTGGGTAAGACTCTGCCTTGCACACTCTGGCTTGCTCACTTAGCCAGCGCAGGGAGTGCGGGTTCAATCCCTGATGGGGGAACTAAGACCCCACATGCCACAGGGTGCGGCCAAAAAGAACAAAAAGCAAACTAGATCTGGATATGCACCATTTATAACCAATGCAGGATACGCGGCAAGGCGAACATCACCTTAGTATAGTGAGAGTGAAAAGAAAGTGAAATCGCTCAGTCGTGTCCAACTCTGTGCGACCCCATGGACTGTAACCTACCAGGCTTCTCTGTCCATGGGATTCTCCAGGCAAGTATACTGGAGTGGGTTGCCATTTCCTTTTCCAAGGGATCTTCCTGACCCAAGGATCCAACCCGGCTCTCCCACGATGCAGACGGCCACATTACCGTCTCAGCCACCAGGGAAACCGTTAGTATAGTAGTCCCTGGGTATTAATTAACAAGAAACCAGTTCAAAGATATGTCGGTGAGAGGGATAGGACTTTCTCATCTCACCAGAGGTTCACATGAGAACTAATGGTTCTGAACCTACCATAACCCTGCAGTTTCTCCCTCACACTTACCTTTTGCTGGGCGGCAGTGACTGGGCAGAGGAGGAAACGACAGCATGCAAACTTTGCAAGTCACAAGGCACTGGTGAGAGAGTTGATTATTTCCATCCGAGGTGCCATCACCTGGGTGGAGGGCACTGAAATGGCAGAGCACTGAGGGGAGAAGGCTGCTGGGGTGGGTGGTTCTGAGATGGGAAACGATGCCCACCTGAAGACGCCCTCCCAAGGTCCAGGGAAAAGTCCCTGCTTGCCCCCGAGAAAGAATGGCTCAAAGGGTGTGTGTTCATTGTGCAGAAAAATATCAGGAAGTATCAGGAAAGTTGACAGATGAGGTACTCAAGGTCCCCAAACTTTCTTGGCTTACAGTTGATGTTCTTAATGTTGCAGTAATTTTTTAAACATACCACTAGGCCAAAAGAAACACCAAACAGTTCCTGTTATTTGGTTAGATCCAAATGACTTAATAGTAGTAGTTGTGTGATGTCCGAGAGTTGTCCTTGTGTGTCTCTTGATGATTCAGAATATCCCACACCATCCCTAAGAGTTAGTTTCAGCATCTGGGTGGGCCTTGGCACACACATTGGGGACTACATTACCAATGCAAAAGCAGCCTTCTTTTGGAGGACCTGGGTTCTCTGAAGCATCCATTCCAGACAGGACAAAGATTCATCGAGCCCTGAAAGGCTGGTGATTTTTATTTTCCCCACTTCAGAGTAACCAAGGGCTTGCTCCAAGGAACAGAATAGGATGGAGCCTATCCTGGGAATTAACATTGAAATTGTTGGTTTTCTTTCTCCCTCCACCAGCAAGGACTCCTTGAGGGCAAAGACACAATCTGCATCTCTTACTCTCTCCCTAGAGCTGTGACCTGCGCAACGTGGGGACTCAGTACAGACATACCTCCCTTTCTCGCACTTTGCAGATACGTATTGTGTATTTTTACAAATGGAAGGTTCGTGGCAGCCCTGCATTGAGCAAGTCACTTGGTGACATTTTCCCACCAGCATTTGCTCACTCTGCATCTCCATGTCACATTTTGGTAATTCTTGCAATATTTCAAACTTTTTCATTATTATACGTTACGGTGAAGGAGGAAACAGACAAAATAGGCTCCATCTTGAAAGCAGGACTCCGTCTTAGGCCAGACTGTGGACTTTGAGCTCTATGCCCAGTATCTATGGAAACAACTTACCAACTGGAAAACCAGGCCCCCCGGATGGAAGAGCCCCAGGGCTTGTACCTAGACACTCTGTTGCCTAAAAGAATACCCTAATTATCTGTGTAACCGAACAGAATCATAAATTCTATTATGCTTACTGGGGTATGACCACAGGCCTATTGATAATTGCCCACTGTTAACTACCTAGGCTTAAGGCATATGAATCATGGGTTAACTCTGTATCTTTCTTTTCCTTTGTTCAGACTAGTTTGGGGAGGTGGGTTTGGGTACGTACACTTAGGGTATATAAGGTTTTCAGAAAAAATGGTCAGGGTCCTTGGCTAAGAGGAGACTCTCCCTTGGGCCCTCCGGTGTAATAAACTGCACCCCACTATCTGCATTGTCCTTCTGAGTGAGTTTGTTTCCTGGAACGCGTGGCTACATTTGGTGCGTTGGCATGGGTGGTTCAGTGGTAGAATTCTCTCCTGCCACGTGGGAGGCCCAGGAAACTCCTCACTTTGAGGAGACAAGTCCCATTTGGAACTACTCCGAGGCCTTGCGGCTTGAATCTTCTAGAGGGGGGAAGGCGCCTCGCCTTTCTGGAAAGATTCTGCTTCTCAATGCCTGGACCTTTCACGTTAGCAGGTAGTGGACGGCAGCAGGGGAACTGAGCGCTCAGGTGAGGAGGAACCCACCCAGTAGGGTGGAAGAGGGGGCCTGATCACCCCCCTGGGAGGGATTAGAAGGGGCACAGACCCACGGGATCCTGGAATAGGCAGGTGGTGATGATTGCTTGGTACACAGGTTGACGAGCATGTTAGGGCTTAGGAAGGAAATTTGTGAAGGTCATTTAGGAGGCGGTGTCCACTCCGTCTTGCCGTCTTGGGGAAAATTATTACCAAGCATTGCCAGGGGATTGTTAGGAGAAGAAACTTGGTCTTTGTGTGCTAAAAATCTGCCCTCCCCAAGGAGGTGTCCCATCTGCTATGAAATTCTTGACCCCCTCGGAACTGTCAGGCTAGAAGGAGGAGGTTACATAAGTGAGTACGAATTGGCATTTCCAGAGACAGCCTGGGACGTGGAATATTTAACCCATCTGTATTTTCATCCGCACCTGATCAAGGCCCCAAAGCAGAATGGACTTTAAAAGTTAAGGGAGAAACAGTCTTGGACCACGTGGTGTTCTGGTTTGACTGTGCTGACTGGCAGGTAAAGACACGCTGATCCCCTTTCTCCTTCTGGGGTCTGGCAGGTAAGGTTGTTCTCACCCCAATTAGGAAGGAGGCAGAATGGAAAATTTAAGTGTCATTGAGTGGAAACATCAGAAGTACATAGGGTACTCAGAACTTCGTAGACAGAACGAAAAGGAAAAGTAGAAGAAGGTCCAAGAAGTTGAGCAAGATGGGAAGTGAATCTAAGGCAACTGTATTGGAGTGCATGATTAAAAATTTAAAGAAGGGATCTGGCGGAGACTATGGGGTGAAGATGAAGCCTAACTGCTTCCACATACACTGTGAGGTCGAGTGGCCCCTATGGGAGTAGGATGGCCACCAGAGAACACTATGAACTCAAAAATAGTGGAAGCAGTCTACACAGGAGTCACAGGAGAGCCAGGACACCTGGATCAATATCCATATATTGACTCATGGCTAGGGTTAGCGCAAGACCCTCCTACTTGGACAAGGTTCCGTATCCAGAAGGGAAAGGGAAAAATATTAATGACAATTAAAAATAAGGAAGAAATTAAGACCCTATTAGATGCTGCCTGGGAACCAGAAAGGGTTGCAGTCATACACTGCTGAGGACATCAAAAAGAGGATACCCCCCGGGCTCAGGGAACAGAGTGGCAGATAAGACTACTAAACAAGCAGCCAAGGGTTTGGGGGTGAAAAATGAAGCCCCTATTAAAGCTTTCATATTGGCGGAGCTGCCTGAGCTAACGCTGGACTCTCCAAAATACAATGAAGCCCAAAACCAACTAGCCAAAGCAGAAGGAGCCATCAAGACTGAAAAGGGATGGTGGGCATTGCCAAGTGGCAAATTATTGGTACTGGAGGAGCTGGCACCCACTCTGGTAATCCAAACACACCAAACGACCCATCTAGGCCATGATAAATTGGAAGAGCTAATTTGAAAATATTTCTTGGTTCCCCGCCTCTCTTCCCTATGCAGGACAAAATCTCAGAACTGCACTGCCTGCTCACAGGTCAGTGCAGCCTCTCAGCACAGACAGAAACCTCCAGGGATTCAGCTAAAAGGCACGCTGCCCTTTGAACACCTGGAAGTGGACTTCACTGAAATGAAACCTCACCGACACTACCATTACCTGCTGGTCATGGTATGTACATTCTTGGGATGGGTAGAACCTTTTCCTACCTGGACTGAAACATCAAAAGTAGCCTGGTGCCTGCTTAGGGAGATAGTTCCCAGATTTGGATTTCCTACCAACATTGGATCAGACAATGGCCCGGCTTTCATAACTGATTTAGTTTAACAAGTAAGCAAAATGTTAAACATCAAGTGGAAATTACATACAGCATATAGGCCCCAGAGTTCTGAGATGGTGGAAGGAACCAACCGGACACTTAAAGAGACTCTCCAAGTGGATCTTAGAGACTGACTGTTCCCGGGTGGGCTTGTTTCTGACGGCCCTGCTCAGACTCAGGATGACCCCACGGCCCCACGGCTGTTCTCTGTACAAAATTGTGTGTGGGAGGCCCCCTCCCATAATAAAACAGGTGTCAACAAATTTGCCTCAGGTAAGGGAAGATGAGATTTCACAGCAGATGGAACAACTGGGTAAGGTAATAAATCAGGTAACTAAGTTTGTACAAGAAAGGGTGCCATTCCCCCTTGGGGAACAGATTCATGAATTTGTGCCCAGGGACAGGTGTGGGTCAAGGACTGGAAGCACGACTCCTTGGCCCCACATTGGAAGGGCCCATATGCTGTTGTTCTAACCAGCCCAACTGCAGGTGTCACTCCCTGGATTCACTGCATGAGGATGAAGAGCTCATACCACGCAGACCTGGAGGACGCCGAGGGGACTACACAAAAGGACCCCACTGATCCCCATGAAACCAAGATCATCTTAAAGAAGAAAAAGGGATGAAGCTCTACAATCAACTGCTGCTAAAGGACTTGCTGGTATCATCCTGAGACTAACCATAGTTTCAGAACAAAGAGGGACCTGTGCTATAATTAAAGTTGAATGTTGTGTATATATTCCTGATTTATCTAGCTATATATCAGCCACCCTGGATGACATGAAAGGTCAGGTAAAAGTTATGTCTGATGATAATCTTCCTTTTTGGACTTCAGTCCTATCTTGGGTGAGGGGTGATTGGTGGGAAACTATATTTACCATTGTTATAGTTGCCTTGATAGTTCTGCTTTGTGGACCCTTTATTTTACAATAAATTATGAACTTTGTAACTCAAAGGTTGATGTCATTCTCCCAAATTGAAGGTCAGAGAGTCAGGGTGCAATATATCCCTATGAATGATGCTCATACTATGAGTTAAGAGCATCAAGAGGCGGGAATGAAGGAGGAAACAGACAGAACAGGCTCCATCTTGAAAGCAGGACTCCGTCTTGGGCTGGACTGTGGACTTTGAGCTAGATGCCTAGTATGTATGGAAACGACATACCAACTGGAAAACCAAGCCCTCTGGATGGAAGAGCCCCAGGGCTTGTACCTAGACTCTCTGTTGCCTAAAAGAATACCATAATTATCTGTGTAACTGAATAGAATCATAAATTCTATTATGCTTATTGGGATATGACCACAGGCCTATTGATAATTGTCCACTGTTAACTACCTTGGCTTAAGGCATATGAATCACAGGTCAACTTTGATTGTATCTTTCTTTTCCTTTGTTCAGACTAGTTTCAGGGAATTTGGGGAGGTGGGTTTGGGCATGTACACTTAGGGTATATAAGGTTTTCAGAAAAACTGGTCAGGGTCCTTGGCTAAGAGGAGACTGCCTTGGGCCCGCCAGTGTAATAAACTGCACTCCACTATCTGCACTGTCCTTTGGAGTGAGTTTGTTTCTTGGAAAGCATGGCTACAACAGAGGTGGCCTGCGATCAGTGGTCTTTGTTGTTACTATAACTCCCTGAATGCTCAGAAGATGGTTAGCATGTTTTAGCAACAAAGTATTTTAAAATTAAGGTATGTACATTGTTTTTCTAGATATAATGCTGTTGCACACTTAACAGACTGTAGTATAAACATAACTTTTATATGCACCAGGAAACCAAAGAATTCGCTTGACTCACTTTATTGTTGTATTTGCTCTATTGTAGAGTCTGGAACCATACCCTCAGTATCTCCAAGGTATGCCTGTGCATTTTTATTGTTTGAATGGTTATATCAATTTTACCTTCCACTATCTTCTTAGAAGATAGGCATTGACATGTCTTGGCTGTAACTCAAGGTTCTTTCCTGAAATGTCAACCAAAAAAAAAGGAAAATATAATTAAAAGTTTCAAAGCCAGCACCAAAGACCTGATGAGAGCTTAAAATTTCATCTGTTCTCCACCCTAAGGAAGACATAAGGGGAAAGGTGATCGAGGAGTCCAAACACAGGAAAAAGAAAGATGGACATTACTTTGATGTTTTTATTATTTAAAATTGTGGGGTCTTTTTTGATGCTTTTAAATGACTGCTAAATTATTAGGGTGGTTTGGGTACAAGCTAGCTATGAGACAGAGGAATACATTAATCTCCCTTTTAGAGGCAGCTCACAGCAATATCTCAGGTTTTCATGCTCTTCCGGAACCTTCCCACTTTCCATTGAGAGGGACAGCCTGTTTCTCCTTTCATCCTGTGTAGAACTTTGTGGCTGCCCCAACTAATGGAATGCAGTGAAAACGAGCCTGCATACATTTCCAAGACAAGTCGTAAAAGGCTATACAGCTTCCATCCGGTTCAGTCTCTCACTCGTGGGATACTTGCCTTGGAAGCCAGCACCCAGGCTGTGGGAAAGACAAGACAGTCACGTGGAGAGGCCCATGTAGACAGCAACCGGGTCCCCAGCTGACAGCCAGCCTCAACTGCCCCGTAACGGGAGTGAGCCCTCCAGAGCATTGAGGCTCCCAGCCTCCAAATTACTCCAGATTATGCCAACTGAAGCAGATGTCAGTTATCGTCTTCCTCAAATGCAGATTCAGGAGCAAACAAAATGCTGGGGTGGGCTTTTGTTTTGCAGCTCCATACTGCCTATAGGGATCTTAATTCCCCAACCAGGAATCTGACCCATGCCCCTTGCAGCTGGAAGCATGAATTGCACCAGGGAATTCCCCAATACTGTGGTTGTTTAAGCCACCAGTGTTGGCATATTTGTTATGCAGCTTCAACCCAAAAATATTTTTTAAAACACTGTATTTGAAAAATGTGAGACTTCCCGGGTGGCTCAGTGGTAAAGAATCTGTCTGCCAATGCAGGAGACACAGGTTTGATCCCTGAGTTGAAAATGGCAGCTCACTCCAGTATTCTTGCCTGGAAAATCCCATGGACAGAAGAGCCTGGTGGGCTACAGTTGATGGGGTCGCAAAGAGTTGGACATGACTGAGTGACTAAATAACAACATTTGAAATATATATACATGGTATAGTAAGGAACACAGAACTCTGAACATAGAATGCCTGGGTTCCAATGCTAGCTCCAATATTTAATAGCTGTCAACCTTGGATAAATTACTTAACCTCATGCCTGTTTCCTTATCTGTAAAATGGAGGTAGTAACAGTCCCTGCTTCATAGGGATGATGCTAATTATTTAGGGGACTTAAGATGTGCAAAGTGTTTGTAACTGTGCCCACTGTGGAATAAGCTCTAAATAAGGATTAGATTAGCAGTGGCCACAGGACTAGAAAAGGTCAGTTTTCATTCCAATCCCAAAGAAAGGCAATGCCAAAGAATGTTCAAACTACTGCACAATTTCACTCATTTCACATGCTAGCAAGATAAGGCTCCAAATTTTTCAAGCTAAGCTTCAGCAGTACCTGAACTGAGAACTTCCAGATGTACAAGCTGGATTTAGAAAAGGCAGAGGAACCAGAGAGCAAATTACCAACACCTGTACCATCATATAAAAGGAAAGGGAATTCCGGAAAAATATCTGTTTCTGTTTCATTGACTATGC